CAGTGAGAGAACTTAAAATCCGGAAGTGTGCTGATAAGATGATAAAGACTCATCATCATGACGCCAGCCTCTGGCCACGGGGAGAAATGGGTGAAGGCTGGCCCAGGCCGCTGGAACCGCAAGACAAAGACGAGCTAGAAGCATGGTGGGTGCACAATGGACGGCAAGGAAGAGGATGGGCAGAGCGCATGGCTGAAGAGAAGGAAGAGAGAGGTTGCAACCAGGGGCCAACCTTGTAGGGGCCCGAGTGCCCTTGGAAGGCTCTGGAATATGATGATGGTGAGCCAGGGGGTGAGGAGTAGCAGGGTAGGTATACTAAGAAGAGTCGGAGTGACATGATGTAATTTACATTTTCAAGGGAAGAGTGGGACCTCTGTAAATAAAGCCCCAAGCCAAACTCCCTGCCATCGAGTTGATGCTGACTCATAGTGACCCTGGAGGGCAGGGTAGAACTGTCCCTGTGAGTTTCTGAGACTGTTAACTCTCAATGGGAGTGGAAAACGCCGTTTTTCTCAAAGGCTGGTGGCTTCCAACTGCTAAACTTGTGGATCATAGTCCTATACGTAAGCAGTACTCCAGCGGGGCTCCCTGTGTAAATAGGCTTTATTAAAAAAGAAAAACCCAGTGCCATCAAGTCACCCCGGATAATAAACAGAAACCCTACAAGGCTCTGGGGAGGCAAAATTATGGCATATAAGTAAGGGCAGGAAGACCCTGTAGGAGTTAGCAGAAGCAGTTCACTGGAGTGAGGAAGGAAGTATAGGTTACGAAGTCAGCGGTGGAGATTCAGAGGAAATGCAAACTAGGCTGCAGACAGACTTTAGTTGGCGTCAGAAGGAAAGAAGTTACAGATACACAGTCTCTCAAGGTTCTTCTAGAATCTAGGTTCTGTTTCCACCAGCTCGGGCACCAAACAGCCAAACACCAAAGTTCCTGCAGGGTGTATTACAGACAGCCTAAATGTTAGAGGATGCACATGTTTGCTATTTGTTTAGATTTAAATGAGTATCTCAGAACAAGTGTTGTGACTGAGTAATTCTGATGAAAGTCCAAGAAGCATTAAAGAAGCAATCTCACTCACTGCCATGCAGTCAATTCAGACACAGTGACCCTACAGGACAGAGTAGAATGCCCTTGTGGGTTTCCGAGACCGTAACTCTTTGCTCAGAGTGGCGCCTGGTGGTCTTGAACTGCAGACCTTGCAGTGAGCAGCCAAACTTGTAATCCACGAGGCCACCAGGGCTCCTTAAAGAAGCAACACCACTTGCAAAATAATTTCTAGCTAACCTTTCCCATGCATACCAAGCATCGTTTACAAGGGGGTTGGCCTCCAGCGCCTTGCCCACTTCTCCTTAGTCTAAAGCTTGCACGTTATTTCAGAAAACTTTAAATCAGAACACAAGCCAGGAAACTGGGGCAAAAACTGCAAAGAAAAAAACTGTTACATCAGAACCTCATGACTGGATAGACCTATCACCTGACTCTCAGCAATGTCACCTGGAGAGGGAAGGTTGGGTTTGTGTGAAGAGGCGCACTTCACTGGCACACACTTCAAGGCACTTGCAGCTAAGAGTGTAAGGGCCTCCACCCGCATGAGCTTCTGCTGACTGGAACCTGACTGCAGAGCACGGAAACCAGCTGCGCTCCACAATCAGGTACCATGTCTGGCTGCTGACCAAGAGGCTGCAGGAGCGAGTCCACTCAGAGGTGCCTTAGGAGGAAGCTTGGGGACCTGCTTTGGAAAAATCAGCCACTGAGAGTCCAATGGAGCACAGTGCTACTTACACACGGGTCGCCATGGGTCTGGATCAGCTCCAGGGAACTTGGCTAAGGAAGTCCCTCAAGCACTCCCTCCCTGCCCTTCTGCTGTAGGAGGCCTGGGACTACCCTCACGGAAGCCTGTCCTAAGTTTCTGCACGGCAGCCACTGGTGAGCAGCAGGTGCCACGCGGCTGGCTGCGCACTGTGTAAGACAACACGGATTTATCCCAAAAGTAACTCCACGGGGTGCCCCTTTCTTCCACATCTGCTGTTCCACTCGCCAAGTCACCAAACAAACAAACAAACAACCCACTACCATCAAGTCCATTCTGACTCACAGGGGCTTGACGGGGTTCAGAAGCAGTACGTCTTCATTCTCACTCGGTGGGGCTGGTGGATTTGAGCCGTGGGCAATGCAGTTGATTGTGTCCCCGACAGTGCCACCAGGGCAATGACCAAAAACTAAAACAACAACAAAACCAAACTCACTGCCAGAGTCCAGACTCAAACAGAACTGCCCCTTTGGGTTTGGGAAGCTATACATCTTTTACGAGAGCAGAAAGCTTCATCTATCTCTGAGGAGCGGCTGGTGGGTTCAAACCGCTGACCCTGTGGTTAGCAACCAAACTCATAACCCACCAGGGCCCCTCGTTTGCAGTGAGACTCAAAACTCGCTGCCATCGAGTCGATTCCGACTCACAGGGACCCTATGGGACCAGGTAGAACCGCCCCTGTGGGTTTCCAAGTGTGTAACTCTTTGTAGGGGTAGAAAGCCTTGGTTTTTCCCCTCCCTCTTGCAATAAGAGGATGTAAATGTATAGATAGCCTTCAGGTCACTCAACTCATTCACTGCCACTGAGTTGATGTCAAGGACTGGACAGGGTAGGGCTGCCTCGGTGAATTTCCAAGATTGAAGGTGGTTACACACTGGGCTACTAACTGCAAGGTCAGCTGTTCGAAACCACCAGCAGCTCCAAGACAAAGATGGAGCTTCTCCGGTCACTGGAGACTCACATGGTAGAAAGAGCAAGGGCAAAAAACTGTTACTTTGTCACAGTTCTCAAATGTTGCCTTCCATTCCTTTATCTACAAATAAGCAACACACTTGGCAGGCCTTCTTCCCAAGGCTTGTTCTGGCGCCTGACAATTCCAACGAGAAAGGCCTGAAACAGTCGGGTGCTGCCCAAATCGAAGGGCAAAATAAAAGTGAGTTCAGGTGATGCTTTGCTCAAATCGCCAACAGAAGGGACGGCAACCAAGCTGACACTTAATGAACGTGAAGTCAACCAGGAGTCTCTTCCTCCAGGACTGGGTGAACGGGGAAAGTACACTGGCCAGGTTCCACAGCGTCACTCCATGGTTGGTCCCGGTCGTGTCGCTTCGCATCGCCCGCGCCCCCTCCTCAACTACACGATGTTTTGGGCAAGGCAGGCTTCTCATCTGGCTAGGCTGAGCGAGGCAGAGCCGGGGGCGACAAGACTGCCACCCTTGCAGTGTCGCACGGAGAGGAGGACGTGCCGAGAGGAAAGGGGGCCCGACTCTTCCATCAAGTGTGACCTTGGACGACTCCTTACGGAGCAGTCCCCCTCCTCCCGTTCCCATTCTTAAACCTGGGGGAATCCTGTCGGCCCCCAGACGGGCTGCGAAGGGCTCAGAGACCACGGCGCGCGCCCGCAGGGTTGCACCCCTGCTCTCCCTCACCCCAAAGAACCCAAGCTCTTCTGCAGCAGAGGGATGCACCCCTTCCGGATGCGGGGCGTGCCAGGGCAGCAGTTTCGATTTCCTAAAGGAGAAGGGTTACTTCCCTGCCGTCCCAGCAACGCCAGCAATCGAAGGCGCCTGCCTCCCCGCCACCCTCGGGAGCCCCGCGGCGGCACTCAATCCCGACTCGGGACCGACCTCCCAGCCGGCTCCGCAGCCCGCCCGGGTCCCTCAGGACTGAGCGCCGCGGGCGGGGCGTTGCCATAGGAACAGCGCTCAAGACCCCGGCCCTAAGCGCCCAGGAGAGGAAGGCTCGCGAGACCTGCTGTGCCCCATGCGACCTCGCCCGGGCGGGCCCTCCCAGGGCTGCTGGGCCCTGCTAGCAGCGCCCCGACCGCTCCGCGCCTTCCCGCGCGGCTCCACGAAAAGCCTACCTTCCGCCATGTCGGGCCCGGCCCTGCCTGCAGCCTCGCGAGAAGTGCACCTCTTCACTGGGGCGGCGCGTAACGCAGGCGCCAAGTCTCGCGAGAGCCCCGGGAAGGCGCGGCCGAGGGAGGAGTCTGGGCCCGAGCGGCGAGTGGAAGCGGGAGCGATCGTTGAGCTCAGTCACTCAAGGTTCTTCTAGAATCTAGGTTCTGTTTCC